ATTCATTGGTCTATGGAATGGAGGCTGTTCTACCCATTGAGATTGAGGTTCCGTCTTTACGAGTTTGGCTGAATGCCAGATAGCCGAAGCAGATTGGGCAGTCTTGGCCGCCAAAGCTAAAAACGTGCGTCACTAGACTCTTTGATGAAAGAAGACTGAAAGCACTGTACCACATCCAAGGCTATCAACGCAGAATTGCCCGGGCTTTCAACAAGAAGGTTAAGTCCAGGAATCTGAAAGAGGGAGATTTGGTGCTCAAAGATAACCGAGCTCCCATCCACGACCTAAGGGGCAAGTTCAAACCTAATTGGACTGGTCCTTACATCATTAAAGCTATCTGGTCAGGTGGAGCTGTGGTTCTGATGGATCTAGATGGCTTGGAGTTCTCACAACCGATCTTGGCCAAAAAGATGAAGAAATACTACCCTTGAGAGGCTCGCTAGGCCGAAAACCCGAAAGGGCGACCTAGGCAAAATCAGAGCACAAAAAATTAGAAAATATAAAAACTGAGCTCGCAAGGTTGAAAACCCGCAAAGGGCGGCCTTGGCAAAAGTTAGAGCGCAAAAGGAGAGTGAAAATACTCGAGTGAACCTCGGCCTGAACTACGTAAGGCTTGATTCCCATCTTTGGGATACGTAGGCAACTTCACCTTGAAGTTCAGCCATAAACTTTTCCCCGATCAACTCTGTACATCTTGATCATCTCAGTCATCTTTATCCATCAAACATTTATCGTGATCTCTGGTACAGTGCTGTTCAAACTAGGGACAACTTTCCGTTGCCGCGACGGTGCAAAGTTACTCAGACAAGGGGCAACTTTCCGTTGCTATGAAGTGCCGCATTGTTCTTCAGACTAGGGGCAACTTTCCAGTTGCAGGGATCTGGGGTTGTGCATCTCAGTGACAGATTTTCGGCGTGTCCAGTTCTGATCCACATCGAAAATAGTTTTGAAAAGTTTTAATAAAAGTCGACTTTGTTCAAATTAATCTTTTTACGACTAAGACCATTTTTGGACCAAAAGCGGAAAATTTTCAGTACCACAACTTTCAATTTCATTGATTTCAAAACTGAGTTCTCCTGCTCTTGCATTACAATCGAGGTTGCTTTTTTGGTACATTCATAAAGAAAACTTGAAAATGCTAAATAAGCAATAAATTTGGGGCATAGCTAAATCAAATATCTCTGCGCCCCCTCCCAGAGCTGGACGGAGCATCTGATGCCAAGCTAGGCCCAACCTGTGCCTCCTCATTGAGCCAATCCAAGCACTCATCGGACAAAGTACAACTGAAAGTGGAAGCAGGGGCCAGGAGCTCTCTTGTCCTCTATGCTGTGGCATATCGGGCAAGCTGTGCACCCCGGACCGGGAAAGCGGCTGGGTACTCAATCCCCTCCGGTGGGCAGGTCTGATCATGACCAAACTGACGCAGGAACCGGAACGGAAAATAGAATACGCAGTGGGTTAGTCCAACCAATTGGATCCCAATCAGCCGAGACATACTATAGCTCATTGCCGGGAGGTTGAGCCAAGGACAACGCCAAGCAATGCCGTCTGCGGACAAATCGCACATCCAATCGAACCACCACCTTTCGTCAAGAGCATTGACAAGGCGTTGCCGAAAGAAGTAGCCTCGAGCTGCATAAGCCAGGCAAGAGTCCACAACCTGCAACTTGTCCATTAACCATACCTAGGGGAGGGATGGAAAATGAGAGAATAAAGAACAGAGAGATGTACGATGAGAGAGAAGTGAGACAAGGGTTTTGTGAGAAAAACCGAGCCTGAGGGTCGAGTGATGTGAGCAAATATATATGTGAGGTCGGGTGGGAAACATTACCTGCAGCAGCAGTGGACTCCCAGCAAACCTAGTCGCCTCCCGGCGATAGACAGAATCTAAGCCCATCAGTGTCTCGGCCAAGGTCATGGCAATACAGCTCTTTCCTTCTCTCAAACCTTGGGCGACTTCAATCAGGCGAATGCTAGCCCCGCCGAAGCCCGAGGAAAGCAGAAAGTGAGACAACATACACAAGCAGAGGGCGTGTTGCCGGAAACCCTGCCAATAATGGTTGATGCGATCACCGGCGTCGGAAAAACGGTAAATCAAGCCAAGGATGTCCAGTTCCCCACTGCAGATCAGAGATCGAGCGTCATGCACCGTGAGCCCACACATCTGCCCTAAAGCCTGAGCATGGCCAAAACGGAGCTGGGGCAAGATCACTTCAGAGCATTCAGACTCCATCAAAACCTGAAAATCTTCGAAAGTGGGACACATCTCTTGGCCGCCAAAGCTAAAAACGTGCGTCACTGGATTCCAGAACCTTGCCGCGGCATGGAGAAAAGGGAGCTGTAGCGGAGTACGGCTCAGCGTGAATAGTGCATTCAAGCCGAAACCCCGGAAATTCAGCTTTTCCGAGCCATCTAGAGAAGAGATCCAAGATGTGACATTTTCTGCGAGAAACGCCTCCATCTTTGTCTAAAACTAAGATGAAATGAATGTTCCCGAAGTTGAGGCTTTTATAGAAGGAAAAAAACTATTCACGGGGACACGTGTCAAAAATCTGGAGGCTACAGGAATAGTTGGCCGGCCGGCCACCTTTTCTGGCTGGCCAGCCATTTACTTTTTCAGAAATGGCCGGCCAGCTGTCTCTCTCCACAAAAATGGCCGGCCGGCCCCCAAAGGTGGCCGGCAATGCTGCAGTGTATCCCCTTGGCCCTGATTTACCCTTCGAGGGAAAGTTCCAAGCATTTCCATGCAACAGGAGAGTCAAAGGCCTTCATCTCCCTCCGTTTCGGATGCGTTCCGGTGCCCAGATCGTCCGAAGTACACTCTGTTTTTGTTTATCGAGTTGTAGTTTTGATTATCGAGTTGTTGTTTTGCTTATCGAGTTGTTTGTCGAGCGGACGTGTTTCGTGTTTTTGAGTCATTGCGCTCTGTTTAAGCAATCTTTGTTAAAGTCTTGTTTATTTGTGTTGTCAACAATGTTGCATTTTGCTTATCGAGTTGTAAACTTCCTAAGGTCCTGTTATATCTTAGTAAGTTGGGTTGCTTAGTTTGTTGCGTCGATTCACTACCTGACTTGGTGATTACACAATGCACATTCCCATTCAATTTCATTTTTGTGCCGTCGGTTCACTACCTGACTTGGTGATTACACAACGCACATTTCCATTCAATTCCATTTTTTGTGCGAAATAAATTGATGTGATACGATGCTAAAAGTTTAAAATACAAACACCTTTTCAAAAGCTATTTCATTCCATCATGCTTTACAACAAACGAAGGTACAAGTTTTACAAAAAATAAAACTGCCTAACAATGTGCAAAGTGCTACAAACTACTAGCAAAAAGAAAAATAAAGCAGGAAATAGCAACATCAATGTCCTCGGGAGCGGGAACGAGAAGCACTCCTCATCCTCTTCTGCGGGACAATCTCCGCACCATCATCACCATCTGAGTCGGAGCTGTCATCCTCAGGATCCCCCTCAGCCTCGCCTCTATTCCCCGAGCCAAAACCGGAACCCCCCTCCTCAGCAGATGTCTCTGACTGACGATCGGTAGCCTCCTCCTCCTCATCATCAGGCTCCACCTCCACAACGTGAGCCCTGCGTCTGCGGACATGCCCTCCTCGAGCTCCCCGAAAAGGCCTAGATGGCCCAGCTCCTCGGGAAGGCCGAGATGACCCCGCCCCCTGAAAAGGCCCGGGTGACCCAACTCCCTTAAAAGGCCCAGATGGCCCAGCTCCCCAAGGAGGCCCAGGTGGCCTGGCCTGCGGCTGACCGGACCATGAAGGCATCTGAAAACAAAGAGTTCAATTCAAATACATCAGTCCGAATATATACATCAGATGCAGATACAAGCAAAGGCTACGTGAAGTGGGTGCATGAAAATGCAGTGTCCAAGTGGGGTGTGTGTCAGATGTGCTCTACACAAGTAGTCTATCGATGCAGTAGAAATCAGTATGTCACCAGAAGTATGATAAATGCCAGAAAACTGAAGGGTACCTGAATGCCCGCGACAGACAACTGTGCCTCCCTACGCAGGACCATGCCCTTGAGTGTGGCCACCAGTCCAACCACCTCCTCCATGTACCCTCGCGATGGCTACAAAAATGAGCTCATAATCATCAGTGAACAAAAAGGTATTACAAGGAATTCATAATGGGCATAACGTGTACGAAAGGCCGTTTTCTGAATGTCCTCCTCCTGGACTCTTAATTGATGGTACCCCAACCTCAAATCTATTTTTGAGAAGCAACGAGACCCTCTAAGTTGGTCAAACAAATC